TCCATGCAGCTCAGGGGCTGTGCAGACAGCCCATTCAGACAGCTTGGCAGCAGCCCAGAAAGGCGTCCAATGACTAGGGAGACGATGATCCAATTGCTCATGGATCCTGTTACTCATTAGCCAGAGCAAGCAGGGAGCAAACACCAGCACACATCACTCGCAACAGCTTTATTCAGAATGGAGACATCTTCAGGCAAAGGTCTCTCACAGACACACCCATGAATCAGGGGACCTGCGCTGAACATTAGTTCTTTTTACATTTTATACATCTTGGTTCATACTTATTAACATTTGCTCTTCCCTTGTCCCTTATTTGGTTTCACCCATTTCTCCTCCCATCTCAAACTCCACCTCTGTTTACTGTTTGCTTCACTAGCATGGTATTGCCCATGCATTCCATGCATTTACATGCCTCTATGCTAAGAGCACATGTGTAAGACTTTGACCTCTGCTTCTTTTGGTCACTTGCTGGTTCTTTGTGGTTTCTTGCTGACTTCAGCACCATCTCCAAGGTTTTGCTTCTACTTTATCTCCTGATGATAGCTGGTGGGCTGCATCTTGTTCTCCTTACGCAGTAAATCATGCATCCTGCACACTATCCCACTGTTAGAAAACTGCTTGCTTAAGCATTTGCAAAGTTAGTTACTTTTAATATATCATCCTGCCTTGTGACCAGCAGCTTTTGCTGAGACACAGGAAAAAGCCTTTATTCAGCTGCACACCCAGTGCTCCCCAAAATCCAAATATCATCACCCTAACACCCACCACTTCAATTTAGGGCAAAGTAACCCCCCATTTCATGTACACACACCCTAATTTAGCAGCTATTCCAGTTACCTGCCTTCACATTTTTGCCTAGACAGATTACACATTCTGCCATTTAAAAAGCTGGTCCTCCCTCTTTCAGACAACTGAAAGAGTTGGAATTGCAATGGAGTTAACAGCTATAAGGTGTGATAATATAACTGTAACATTGTTAGGAATGGGAATTGAAAGGGAAGAAGCAGCCTGTTGAACTCCAGTCTGGATTGCTATCCTCATGCTGATAGATGGTGCTTTAATAGTTGCTATTGTTACGGCCCTCTGTCTCCTCTGTTAGCTAGCAGAAATGGAATACTGGAGTAAATTTACCTCCAAGTATGAGGCCAGAATTCTGGAAAAATTCAGTTTCTGGAGTTCTCTGTGATCTTTAAAAGTATTTCTGCATTAATTGTGTATTTGATTGACAATATGCCCTTTCCTCAATGACTTACATTATTTGAGACTAACTGAACGTTTGGGAGATTGGTGTTTAATTTTTCAGACAAAATAATTTATTCAATGAAAACTCAGGTGAACAGAAAATTTTCATGAATTTGGATCAAAGTATTGTCTTAAACATTAAAAAAAAACTTTGAATAATTTATTTTTGAGAGCAATAGTGAACCTAACAGAGAGATAGAGTGAACTACCTAACATCACACAGAATTCCAGAAGAGCTAGAAACTGGATCATGCTCAGCTTCCCAAATTTAATTTGCTGAATTACTTTTCCTTGTGTTTACCTATGCCCCATTTAGGGTTTCCTTTCATATACATTCATATTAAATGCCATAGCCTCACTTTGCAGGTATCTTGTCTAAATTGAGTATACCTTTATTGGTACAGTGTACACAATACATTTTCCTTTTCTATCCCAACCCATGGCCCTGGAAAGACCATGAGATCATCTGCCTGAAAAGTGCAAGTGTTACTTCAATGGTCATGTACAACCGAAACCAGTGCAGCAGAGCAACTGTGTCTCAGCTAATTTATTTTATGGAGTGTTGCCACATGTTTTTCTTTCTTGCTTTTGAAATATCAAGTAACAGTATCAACAGATTGCGCTAATCAAACAAGTATCTGTAACACCTGCTTAGCTTGCATCCAGCACTGAAAAATGCCAAATGAAGCAGGCTTGACAGATGTAACTGTCGTAGAATGAAAGAATAACTTTCACACTGGGACAAATTGTGGAGAGAAGGAAAGAAAAGGAGAAAAGGTGACCACCTGTATTTTACAGACAATTCACTTTCCAGTGGATTTTGGGTTTCTGTTCTTAGCATATGGAATCCACATCACCCAGATAGAACTGAATCAGTGGGATGCATAAGCAGAAAGTGTGGGCAGGTGAATGGAATCCAGCCTCACAGGCTAGGGACAGAAGTTACACATAAATCAGTTTAAGTGATCAGAAACTGGTTTAAACCTGTAACACAACAGAAGCCCAGTGCACATAAACCAGTTTCAAAATGGCTGAAACTGGCTTAAGATAAACCTGGTTGAATGTCCTATCAGACTTAACTGATTTGGGTCAAACTGGTTAACGAAACTTCTGCCCCAGACCCCTTCCTTGTTCAAGTCAAATCACAGTCTCCCAGCATGCTTTCCAGCCCTGGGCTGAGCTGGACTGTCTGCTCCTGAGAACAGGGCTGGCCCCAACTTTCTGCTCCCTAGCTGGAGCATTGAGGGCTGGTTTGACAAGGAGTGGGGTAGCAAGCCCAGCTGAGGTTGCAGCTCAACTTACAGGGGGGAACTGACCCCTCCTGAGACATGGGTTTGATACCAGGGAGGGGGATTTAAACACCCCTTTCCCCACTCAATCTTACTGTTGGCTGTCACTGTGAGCTATTAATCCCAGGGGCACCAGGAAGAGGAAGTGATGAGCAAATCTGCAGAGTCCTGCTGCAGTAATTCTGGATTGCCAGTCCTAGAGACCTTGGGGGCAGCAGGAAGACGAAGTGAACTCACAGTCAGAGAGTCGTGCTCTAGCGCCTGCCTCTGGCTTCTGGCCTGAGCCACTGCAGGCATGTGGCTGCATTTCCTGATTCAAAGGTAAATGTCTGTTCACTTCTGTTTCAATTTAATCTGTGCACCTTAGACTAACCTGCAAAGGCTGAATTGATTCAGCCTCAGGCTTTTTGACTGTCAGTAGCCATCCCAAGACACAGGGTTTGGAGCCAGTATGGTTTGTCTGCTATTATCATTGCAACCTATACATTGCTGACTGGTTAAGCAGCCCCTGCATCTATACAAAGCAGGTTATGTGGCCAAAGTCCTATGTAATTGGTAGATGCTCTGGTCATGCCTCTGAACTTACCCAGCTGCCTAGGAACACCCACGGAGAGACCTGCCATTGTACACTTTTCCTCAGCATTCAGATTTTCAGAGCTGCTTATCCAGCCTCTGTTCAGCCTTTTTCTGCCACCTCATCACAGGTCTGTTGCAGTTCCTAAAAGAGTCTATTAAATCAGGTTTATTTCTTTTTGGATGAAGGCTCTCCTTGCTGTCTGCAGCCTCTTCTGCTTTTTTTCTGCAGTGAATTAATAAATGGGCACTTTACAAGCAGTAACAATGCCATAAATAGAACTGCAGAGCACCACTGCACAAATTGATGAAGTAAGGGCAATGGAAAGGAAACCTCATTTTAAAAAGAAATACATTTAAAAACAAACACAATTACCAAAGGTGGCAGCTGAAATGACAGAAGTCCAGGTGAACAGTTTTATTTTACTGATAGACATACGACCACAGCCAGTAGTAGAGAAACTTCAGTGTTTACAGTTTAGGAAAGATTCAGAGAATCAGCCCAATATTCTATTATTTACCTGAATGATCCATAACACACAAGTCTGAAAATCTAGGCCCTGATATTATAAGCACTTGGTGATCATTATTAATTATTAAAACATCTGTATAAGGCCTGTAGCTAAAATTTATACTAATTAGAAATCTTGTTTAGCCACTCCAGCTGTTTAAAAACAAATGTATGGGTATGTGCACATACCTACTGTATATGTGTATATCTTTAAAAGGAAAATCAACACAGTTAATATTTTAAAATATAATGTAATATAATATTCACAAGTGACCCATTTACATAAGAACCTAATATTCTCAAATATGTTTTCTGGGGCCGGGTCCACTTCCCCACTGTCTGCTTATCCCATGTCCCCCTGCTCCCCTCCCCATGAAGGACAGGTGGAAGGGCATGGATGGAGTGCCACTATGCAGCACCCTGTGCTGTTACCACATCCAGGGAGCAGGCGGTGGCAGGTGAGGCCAGCGCTGCTTCATTTTCCTTCATTCTCTAAGCCAGGGGTTTTCAGCTTTTTTGGATCAGTGTACCCACAGTGGCTGGTCAAGAATACAGGAGTCCCACAGCAGGCAGTCAACAAGATGGGGGGGGGGGCAATGGGTGGCAGAAGTGCCAGCGGTGGTGCCCACTGCTGAGTATCCCCTGAGGCCATCTCAAGTACCCCAAGGGGTACATTTACTACCTCTTAAGCATGACACCTTGACAAGATGAAATGCAGCATAGTGTGTGCCAGGAATCCCAAATGGCAAGCTGAGCATGGTGCTTAATTTTTACCTCTTGCTTAACTTCAGTGATCATTTTGATGCTTTAAATGGTTCCCATTCTGTAAGTTGGATGATGCATGATATATATAGAGAGAAATGGGGTGGGGCAGGGGGAAACAAGACAAGTAACACAGCATCTCAAAGCTGTGATAACTTTTACAAAGCCCCCTGGGGGCAGACGTGATTTCTGGAGAAAACAGTTTATAAAGGGAAGAAAATGCTTTTTGTTGTTAATTTTTCTTTCAAGTTTGAAAGTTTGCTTTCAGTATTGTTTGTAACATTTAGAGGACTGTTTTATTTATTAGCTGTTTTGTGATCAAGCTGTCTTTGTTTTTGCCTGAACTTCATCCTTCAGCTGCTGAAAATTGCTGCAAAGTACCAGGAGGCCTCAATCACAATGCCCTCCACAAACTCTTAAAAGTGATTGGCATGTTACAAGAGGGGACCATATAGTATAAGAAGTGTGTCTAGCAGACAGGACATGGGACTGGGATTTGGGAGGCCTAGAATCAGTTTCTGGCACAACCAGAGTCTTCTAGTTTGACTGTAAACAAAATCACTTATCTACCCTGTGTCTCAGTTCCTACTGTTAAATAGGGATAACCCTTACATGCCTCAGAGAGGTGTTGTTAAAAGAACCCTTCCAAAATATTATGAAGTACACAGATATAATTTATTATGTGGGGGTTCATGAACTGGTTATATATATGTGTATGTGTATGCTTGTGTGTGTATACTTTACATAAAAGTAAACAAGCATATTATTTGCATCACATAGATGATGGATGGGAAGAGAATTGGGAGACAGGAGAAAGCAAATTCTATTTTGAACTAAGTGCATGCATGTTCAAAGGTGATGATAATTGTAAAAATTTTTTTTTCTACTGCATTAACATTAATGGTCTTTACATTTTTAATTCTGTCTTCATCTGCATACCTGTTTATTATTTAAGAGCTGGGATCTGGAAATTATTTTGTCTGGATAAGATTTATATTTGTGAGGTTTTATTTATTTATTTTCTCTCTTTGGATTGGTTAAAGGACAATAAAATAAATGGTTAGTATTGCTTTTACATGCCAGGGTTATTACTGATAAATTATGGCTTTTGGTTCAAAGCTGCAGAGTATTTTCCCAATCTGACAAAAACAGCACAATTATATCTGCCTCAGTTTGCAGACTGCTGGTTGTTGCTTTTCTTTCTCATGTTCCACATTTTATAGTGCTAAACCACACCCTGCATGCAAGTCATTTGGGGCTTTGATTTAAGCCCCTGCAAGTTAATGATTTGAGTCAAAGTTCATTGGACTGTATTCTACCCAGGGTTGTGACACTTGGTAAATAATTATTAGATTTTACATTCAAGCCTCTGTTTTGTGAAATCCTCTTTCTTATCTTGTTTTATTCTTTTAATATGAATTTAGTGAATTCCCCATGCACAAATGAGTAAGTATAGGCCCACAGTCTCCAAAGCTTTCTATGTAGCAACCCAATGTCAATGCTATGAAAGTCTCCCCCACCACACACATTGTACTGCCAGTGTTTATCTGTTTATTCCAGCTCCTTAAATAGTAGGCACAGTTAGTTTTTTGTGCTGACTCTGATCATGAGTCTTTTAACTGAAATGGACAACTACCACCAGTTAGTTGTAGCCAGGGTGATACTTTGGTAGGGGGATATTTATTTATTAGAAGCAGCACTGGGACAATCTAATGAATAAGTATCTGTGGGTAACATAGTTTAGTCACAGCCAACCTAAGGATAATGCAACTTGGCCAGAGACGAGATAATCAATGATAAAACAGGACTTATTGCTTGCTATTTAGCTGGGGGTTTTTGGCATCATTGCATTGTGAATTACATGGGTTGGCAAGTATACGAGTGATTTTTTTTTTAAGCTGGACAATATGTGAAAATGCAGTTATGTACGTTCTGTCAGAGATGGTTGGGTTTTGACTTTACAGAAGAAGGGATAAGCAGATCATTCCAATGGATGATTGACTACATTGAAGGAATTTAAATAAAGTTGAGGTGGCTAACCATCAGGCAGGCAAAATGTATGTTTGTTTAATCTATTAAGGCCATGAGTTTATCCCCTTATTGTTTTAAGAGTGACTTGTGTATTGTCTCAGTGATTTTGACAGCTAAACCACAACTAAGACACTGCTCTTACTGACCAACCCAATGGTACGTGTTACACTTATGAAACACTTTTTAGCCACAGTTTTATTGCCTATATTTTGTTTCTGTTTATACAACATTTTAAAAGGCAGAGTCAACCTAACTTTAATAGAATAATCCAACTGGGGAGAGTTGGATTGGGAGGGAGAGAAGCTTTTCTAAAGGATGCAAAAAATTTGACATTTTACAAAATAAGAATAATTGAGAAATAGTGGGCATTTGACAAACTCATAGTGTAGTTTGGGATTAGGGCTGGTATAATAGGTGGATATAATATTGACCATAAAATGATTTTAAATTACAAGTCCCTGTAGCACGGCGCTGGGGTGTGCCTGCTCCGTTAAGCAAGCTAGCAGCCTGTGAGGATGCTTGCAGGTGGTGCAGGGAGCTAATGAGATTGAGAGGTGTGAGACCCCTGCTGAACCATCTACTACACCCCCCAGCCTAGAGGTCATTTAAGATTGTAACCATCAATGTCCACAGTTGCAAGAAGGGTCTCTGGAGATGCCAGGTGCTCTCCTTCTTTCAGGAGGGGGGGAACCCCATGGTATGCTTGCAGGAGACCCCAACAACTCTGGTTGACAAGACTAATTGGCAGATGGAGTGGGGTCTTTTTTAGTCACCTCTCGGCTACCTCTTGTGGGGTGGCTACCCTGTTCTCCCTAGGCCTGCAGCCAGAGGTTCTTCAGTATGTTTAGGTGGTGCTGGGCCACCTGCTGCTGCACATCTGGGTCCAAGTGCGGGGGCTGGTCTTGAACCTTCTGAACATATGTGCCCCTGTGAGGGACCTGGAGTTGGCACTTTTTTTCACCAGGTGGCCACTTACATTGGCACCCTCAACCCTCACAAGTGCCTTGTCCTTGGCGGGGACTTTAATGTCACCCTAGATGCGGAATACCGGTTGGACAGGGAGTGGAGCCAGGCTTCCATGGGCATCCTCAGGGAGATCCTGATGGACTACTCCCTGGTGTATGTCTGGCATGCCTGTCACCTTACCGACCCCCCTGCCTTCACCTATGTGAGGGTGGCAGAGGAGCAAGTATGCAACTCCCGGTTGGACTGGGTTTATATCTCTTTGCTGCACTTTTCCTGGGCCCAATACTCTGGCATCTGGCCAACTCCTTTCAGTGATCACCACCTTGTTTGGGCCCAAGCCATGCAGGGGCCTGAGCATCCTGGGTTGGCCTACTGGCATTTGAATGCCAGTCTGCTGGGGGATGTGGGCTTCTGGGAGGCCTTCTGGGAGTTTTGGCTGGCATGGTGGGAGCAACAGGCAGCATTCCCCTCAGCTCAGAGATGGTGAGACATGGGAAAGGTGCCAGCTTTTTTGCCACAGCTACACTTGGGGCTACACCCACCAAAGGGAGGCAGTCCGGGAGCAGCTTGAGTAGGAAGTGCTAGAGCTGGAGAGGCACCTGTCCCTCTGTGGAGAGTGTTGGGAGAGGTGGGAAAAGCTTTGTGCTCTAGATGACCACCACGCCCATGGTATGTTTGTCCTCTCATGCATCCAGCTCCTTTGGGAGAAGGACTGCGGCTCTTGTTTCTTCTATGCCCTGGAGAGGAGGTGGGGGCCAAGAAGTATATCACCTGCCTTCTGTCAGGTGACAGCACCATCCTCACAGATCCAGGTGAGATGCACTGGTGCATGCAGGCCTCCTACGAAGATCTCCTGGGATCTGACTGACACTGAAGCCTGTCAAATCCTGTGAAAGGGACTCCTGCAGGTCAGCATGGGTGACTGGGACCAGCTGGAAGCTCCTCTTGCTCTGGCTGAGTTTACAACCACCCTCCACCTGATGCCTGGCAACAAGGTGCTGGGCATCAATGGGCTGACCATAGACTTTTACTAGGCCTTCTGGGATGTCCTCGGCCTGGACATTTCCACAGTCTGGGCCAAATCTGAGGGAAGTAGGGAACTCCCCCTGTCATGCTGGAAGGTCATACTGACCCTCCTGCTGAAGAAGGGGGATCCCCATGACCTGAGGAACTGGCTTCCCATGTGCTTCCTCTGCTTGGACTACAAGGTGGTAGCAAAGGCCATCTTGTTGCACCTGTGGTCCATGGTGATGAATGTGATCCATCCTGACCAGATGTATATGGTCCTTGGATGTTCCATCTTTGCCAACCTGTATGTGGTTCGTGACCTCCTGGAGCTAGCGTGCTGGGAGGGCCTGTCTTTCACCCTCCTATCCCTGGACCAGGAGAAGGCATTTGACAGAGTGGATCATGGGTACATCACAGGAACGCTGCGGGCCTTTGGCTTGAGGCCCTGGTTTGTGCAGGCTCTTCAGGTTCTGTATGCCTCTGCAGAGTGTTTGGTCAAGCTCAGCTGAACCCTGAAGAAGACCATCCCATTCAGGAGAGGGGTGTGTCAAGGCTACCCATTGTCAGGCCACCTGTACGTCTTGGTCCTGGAGCCCTTCCTCATTCTCCTGTTGAGGCAGGTGGCATGACTGATGCTCGGGGACCTGGTGGTGTGATTGGTCCTGTCAGCATATGCTGATAACATACTTCTCACAGTCCAGGACTCAGATGGCCTGGCACAGGTGGAGTCCTGCCAGGCATTGTACTTGGCAGCCTCATGGGCTTGGGTCAACTGGGCCAAGATCTTTGGACTGGCAGTGGGTGACTGGTGGCAGGTGGGCTCATTGCCACCCATGCTCCATGGGATCCACTGGAGAGAAGGCTTGCTGCTCAATTTTTGGTCTATCTGTCCCCTACACATCCCTCCCCACCAGAAAACTGAGACCAGCTGGAGGCAAGGGTGGTGGAGCGGCTCTGGGCATGGGAATGGATCCTGAGATGTCTCTCCCTGCTTGGGAGAGTGCTGGTGCTGAACCAACTGGTCCTGTGCATGCTCTGTTACAGCTTACACACCCTGCCTGTGCCCCCTGAGGTCCTTGCAGGACTCCAGACACGTGTGCTGGAGTTTTTCAGGCCAAGACAACACTGGGTTGCTGCAGAGGTCCTGAGCCTCCCCTTGAGGAAGGGAGGCCAGAGATGGGTTTGCCTGCACAGCCAGGTCCTGGCTTTCTGCCTTCAGGCCCTACAGCAACAGCTGTATGGTGGCCACTCAGCATGGGTCCACTGGGGGAGCACTTTCCTCTGGCAGTTCTGGGGGCTCCGATACAACTGGCAGCTACTCAGCCTGCAGGGCTTCTCCAGTCAGGACCTTTGAGGGCTTCCAGATTTCAACCAGGACCTGCTCCAGGTCTGGAGCCTGGTTTCCACCTTGACGTCCCCCACAACACTCACCCAGGGTGCCAACCTGCTCCTTGAACCTCTCTGGAACCCCCAACTGGAAGTGCCAATGGCAGAGGTGCCCCGGTTGTGACAGGTTGACCCTGGCTGGTGTCACCTGTATTGAAGACCTCCTGGACTATGGGAGGCAGGAGTGGGTGGACCCCGCTGTGCTGGCCCAGTGCATGGTTCTACCCATAACATGTGCGGCCT